ATGTATGTAGAAAACGTTATCGCGTTCTGTGCGCCCGCAGCGATAAAAGTGCCGCGAAAAGAGAGGCGCTAAGCGTTAACTGTACGAGAGCATAAATAAATACATACATACATACATATATACATACATACATATATATAATACTTACATGCGTATCTTTCCACTCGGCCACGTTTTTTCATAAAAAAAAAAAAAAAAAAAAGAGAGATAGACAGAAAATGCGGAAAAGTGGGAAGTAATGCATATGAGTATATATGTGTATGTATATGTGTGTATATGTGTTAGAAAGAAAAAGAGAGAAAGAAAGAATCGCAACGATTATCACGATCATTCGAGACAGGATGGACTATGTTCGTGATCGCGAACTCGACTAATGATGCTTTACATAACGCATAACGTACAAGAGAGACAGAGAGAGTAATAGAGAGAGATTGAGAGAAAGAGAGATAGATAGAGAGAGAGAGAGAGAGAGAGAGAAACAGACATTGAGAAAGGCTTCGTAACCGCTTCAATATAAAATAAAAATGTTAATAACTTTATAATAATAGTAGAGAGAGAGAATATATAAAAATATAATCACAAGTATTTAACTGTACACGTATTATACAGAATATGATAATCACTAGAAATAAATTTACACATTAGTAGATATATGTTAATAAAAATAATAATAATAAACTATCAAAAATATAACAAAATAATAAATTAATTTGATTGATTTTATTTTGTTTCATTTAATAAAATAATCATTCGATCGTAATAATAATGTAAGGAATCTTCTAACATCGCGTAATCGCGTTCTCGCGTATGTAAATCGATTCAAAGAAATATGTCGATATTCGAAATAAAAAAAAAAAATAAAAACAAAAAATATAATTATAAAGCATAAAGTAAAGAAAAAAAAATTATAAAAGATGACTAGGATTTTTTTATTTCCTTTTTTTTTTTTTTAACTGGAACGACACGAACGCGAACGCGTGTGCAATGCGATTTTCTCATTGGCGTATACCGTGTAAACTACTACTACTACTACGTATACTACACATATATATATATATAAGAAGAAAGAGAAAAAGATGGTGGGGACGATCGTATTGCTGCTCCTTTCGGTTGCTGCCATCACTTACTAACACTCTAACATCACCAACACAGTACACACATGCCATCGTTGTCGTCGTCGTCGTCGTCGTCGTCGTCGTCGTCACCACTTCTCGCACGTAAGCGAGATTACAAGCAACGTTGGTTATCGCAAAACTACGAGCAAGGCTGACGTCGTTGCTTCTCGCGATTAAGAAGCACCAAAGGCGTGTTGGTTACGGCCGTAAATCGCGAATGGAAGAAAATAAACGTAAGAACGAAACGTTTCTGCAACTTAACCGCACGTACGTGTATCGTACGTTTAGTAACGGTTCGTATGTACTTTAAAACTACCTACGAATAGATGAACGAAAGGATATCAGATCGATCCGAAAAATTTGACCCTTTGTTCAAAATCCAACTAAAAATCCTATAACTTCGACAAGAAGAGTGTCACCGTATACGGTGACGAAGCCCACGGGGAAATATGCCTGTCTCCTCCTCATGTTAACTGAACAAACCGAATTCAAATTATTCAAACTCGAAGTTTGCCGAAGATACTCGAAACTCTTCATTTCAGCTTTCTCTGGTTAATTGCAAGTACCTTCGGGTATCTTCGGCTTTTTTTTTTTTTATCTATGATTCAAGTAGACCAAAGTTTTTTATGATTCTTTGATGACAATTTTTCTGAAAATGAAGAAATGGAAAGGTGAAAGATGGACGACGACGAAGACGACGACGACGACGACGACGACGACGAAGGGGCAAACTTCTAAGCAAAGTCACGTCTCAGTGTGCTTGAGAAGAAGAAGAAGAAGAAGTAGAAGAAGGTACAGAGCCCACGAAGTGCTCTCCTTCAAACAAACTTTACGGGCTCGTAAAGCGAACTGTGTAGCGATGAGATATGACGCTTTTGTCCGTTGGTCCATTTCCGTTCCACTCCGATTCCTTTTCGTTTCTCTCGGTTCCAATCGCGTTTTCTACATTTCTACAACAAAGGATTCACGTTTCTTAGTTTCATTCAATTTTTAACACTAATGAAATTACCTTCCTTTCTACAATTTCATATATATATATATCTCATTATTCTGTTAATAAAATAATAATCATCTTGGATTGTTCTGAAAAAACTATATAAGATATTGGGTTGGCTGTAAATACTGTAAATGATTGCGAATTTTGTCGATAGGTGGCTTTATAAACTCAGCAATGAATTAGTTGCCAATCCAATAGATGGATCTTTTACGATAGAAATATAAATAAATTCTATAAAAAGGGAATATGAGTAAAATGATGATAAATTTATTCTTAAAGTATGATGTTTAACCTAAAATTTTGGAAATCTTTTTTCTTAACTAACCATATTGGAATGAACGTGAATCAAGAAGCACTCCAGAACGCGCATAACTCCTCTAACACCGGATTCGGTTATTGCTTTATTTTGAACTAGCGAACCATAAAAGCTCGGGATCGTAGAAAGCCAAGCGGTGTCTCGAAACGAGTCAGTAGAAGTTTAGTCAGACGTGTGCCGTGTGCGTGTGAGTCGATATTTTAACCGTCAGCAAAACTACTCGCAAGCCCCTAACACGCACCCACACACACACACATATATACAAACATACACTGTCACGCCCCCGCGCACGAACACCCCACGTTTTAATATATATCACGCGTGGGTTAAAGTTGGAACCGGATCGCCAATTTTAAGCGTCATGTTCTGATTATGGGAATCAATCTTGTTGCCCTGATGTTTATACAGTTACGATGTAACCTATTTTTTTCATTTTTTTTTTTCATTAATTTAAAAAGGAACCAAAAAATTAGCACTTGTAGCAAATATTAGTTGAATGTTTGAAATATTTGAAAATAAATTCATAGTCGTGAAATTAATGGGATCATTTTTATCACGACTTTTGTGCGATATCGTTACGGCTATTAGATAAATTACAAGCAGCCGCGAAAATATCGAGTAACGACTAATCTTGCTGGCTAGTCGCGGCCAACCACTGTTAGTACGCGAACACGAATCGGGGATTAAAGAGCAGTCAGCGAAATATTCAATTATGCTATAACTGTCAGCAATAATATTAGCGAGAAAGCCAGAACGGAATTTAACATTAAAGCGTGCATTTTTGATGTCGCGTTAATTGTACTTTTGAAGAAACTAATTCAAACAATGCTATGATTAATGTAATGATGAGTTATTTTAAAGTGCATTGTAATCCATTTGTTTCATACACGTCCGTATTGATCATGTTTCAGGTGAGTCGATATCTCGATGCTCCAGAAATCATTACGGGGATCTCGATACCGATGGACCCGACAGTGAAGCAGAAGTTACTTCGTCATCTGGACAGTTGCGTGTCCGAGCTTGATCTAGATCTTGGATCGAGACCTGACAGTGGATTGGGTAGCAGTCCAGGTAGTGTGACGGATCGTGTGACTGGTGCTACGAGTCCAGGTCCTTTGGATCACCACGTACCACCGACGCCTCATTGCAGTACGGCCTTGAATCCAGCTGGTTTGATAAAGTCAGAGATACTAGAGATGGAGACGGCTAGGCCTGACAGTAGCACGACGGCTGGGGACGAAAACAATAACAGTAGCAGACCAACCTCGGCGTTCAGTCAAGTCAATCCAGCTGGTCTGGATCCTCATCACCCTTCCGGTATACCGGTAGATCAAGCCTCGACATCGCAGCAAAATCCGAATATGCTGTCGGTCGTACAGGTGATACCTTCGAGACTACCCGATGGTCAGGTGGTCTTCCTTCTACCTAGTCACTATGTCCAACTGGCTGCAGCGGCGGCAGCGAATGGCATCAGTATCGGACCAAATCCACCTACTGCAATCTGGGCAGCTACAAACATGTCTTTGCTCAAAGCCACAGACAAGTTGGCTAAAAGACCTCACGAAGATATGCAAGAATGGCAGGAAACTGCGGCTGGTGTTAAACCAAGCAAGAGTCCTCGAATGCAGGAACAACCCGAACAACCTTTGGACTTTACTACCAATTCGAAGAAATTGAAGACAATCTCGAGAAACTCCGTTCACGGTATACCAAGTATCGAGCAACAGCAACAACAACAACAACAGCAGCAGCAGCAGCAACAACAGCAGCAGCAACAACCACAACAACAGCAGATACTACCTTCGCGAACGACGACTGACGCTTCGATTATTCACGAGGAAAGACCCTCTAGTCATGCGGGTAGTGAAATCGCTGTTGGAATGCCATCGCCATCGCAGCTCGGTCAACAAGCTGTCAAGGATGAAGAGAGCATGTGGAGGCCTTGGTAAATCGAGAATACCTTTTGCCAATCGATTGCAAAATCGATCTTATTCTTGTATATAAATTATACATACATATATACATACATTAACGTTTAATCGATGGTGATTCGAGTGAAACAGCTTCGATTCGAAACAACATCCATCTCCCGCCCCCCACCCCCCTAGTCAAGGAAACCCCACGCGAAATGGGTTGGTTTTTCCTTCGCGTCGCGCAAAGGATTTGTTTTCTTCTCGCAAAAAGAAAGAAAAAAGAAAAAAAAACAAAATAATGCGCGTATTCGTCGACATTTTTCTCACGAGCTCGTTGATACACCAACTACGTGTAAAAGTAAGTACGTAAGTATGTATGTACATACATATTATACACTTACGTGCAATAACAACGCCTGACGCGTTTGACGTCAAAACTTGAAATTCTTTATCTTCTTCTTCTTCTTCTTCTTCTTCTTCTTCTTCGTCTTCGTCTTCTTCGAAGCAGTTTCATGCGATTCAAAATGCCAAAGTAGTAAACGAGGCGAAATAAACAAAAAAAAATTTAACGATCTTAAAAAAAGAAAAAAAAAAAACCAAAAAAAGGAAAAAAAAAGAGAGAAAGAAAGAAAGAAAGAAAGAAAGAAAGAAAGAAAGAAAGATAGAAGAAAATGAAAATTATTCGACGTCCCATGATGAAGCTACGAATTTTTTTTGTTTTTTGTTTCGAACTGAATAAAATACGAATATGAAGAAAAGAAATAAAAAAAAAAGATATATATAAAAAAAAAAGATGATTTTGTGCAAAAAAAATGATAATGACGATGATAATTATAATGATAATGATAATGATAATGATGATGATGATGATGATGATGATGATGATAATGATGATGATAATGCGTAACGAACGATAGAGATGTATCGTAGATACGCGCGTTATGTCGTTTAATAATTAATTGTATGTATGTAAATGAACGATGAGAAGAGAGAAGTAGAGCGATGTGAATCGAGCGTGTGTGTATGTAAAAGCTTGTGTGTTGTATGCGTGCATTTGTGAGATAAATAAAAAGATAGATACAAAATAAGAGAGAGAGAGAGAGAGAGAGAGAATTGAATGAACGAACGAATGTTAAAACGAGTGAATGGATACGTTAAAATGCGTTTAAATAAATAAATAAATAAATAAATAAAATAAAATAAAAAAAAAATACAATAAAATAAAAAGAACAACCAATACCATCGTGTGTACATAATCCCGATCAGAACTATTGCTATTGTCGAGATATAGATTTATTTTGATGTTATCTAGATGTATATGCGTGTATTATTAGTAAGAGACTGTGAGAGAAAGAGAGAGAAAGAGTTTGATGGTATGGTGGTGTGTATATGGTAATGGAATGTGAGATAGATGGTAAATATTAGGTATGAAAGCTTGTGAGGATCGTGAAAATTACACTTGTAGAGACACCATCATCTCACCGCGTAAAACTAACTTACGTCTATAATTGCTAAATATCTCTGGAATTCGAATTCCTTATCAATGTACTTAGAAGACATGCAGTACAATATAAGCATATATATTGAACTGTATATATACTTAAATAATCAATTTCATTTCTCTTCATTACCTCGACCTCATTTCCTTTGATCAAAAGAAGAACCAACGATGAATAGGGGAGACTCGTATCCTGTCAAATAAATATGGTAAGTAAGTGAGACATTTCTTATTGGGTATGATATACACAGAATGGATTAACACGTTCCATGCCACCTGTACCACCGGTGGTACACTCTTATCATTTGATTATTATTAACTGACATTAGGAACTCGAAAGTTCATTACCGCAAATACCAAATCCCACTATTGTTCCCATCCCTAAGCGCAATCTTCGTATCCTATTTTTTTCAGGTCTCTTCTAATATTATCCTCCCATCTACGTCTCGGTCTACCCAGTGGTCTTTTCCCGTTTGGTATACCGACCAATATTTTGTGCGCTGTTCAATCCTCCCCCATGCACCGCACCACGTGACCAGCCAGATCTTAATCGGCGTGATTTTACGACACCTATCATTTGATATATTTATTTAATGCGTTGAAAATTATTGGATTGGCATGAAAGTAATTATCGATTTTCTAGTGTGAAATAAAACTCTATTGTTTCTATATCAAAAAATGAACTTTAAATTAACCCCTTTCGCTAGGGGCGACTTTATCCGTCGTGGTAGTTCCGCTGAATGTGCCGCTGCGCCAAAAATGTGCACGGTGTTTGAGTAAAATCGACAGCGACCGTGTTTATGCATAGCGGCTATAGTCGCCCATAGTGGTGAAAGGGTTAAATAATAAAAATATTCTAACATTAACAAAATAATAACGAAACAAACATAACACTGTCTATTGGTGCAAGCCGAAATTACATTCTTGCCAATCCAATATATGTTTATAACAAATTGAATATATTCCTATATTAAAATATTGATGCATTATACAAAATGTAGTATAAAACAAAAAGCACATATAAATTTGTTTAATAGAGTTATATTTACAATAATTAATAATTACATGTGTATTGGTTGATTTTCTTAAGGCAAAATTAAATGACCTGAATGACAAGTCAGGTAAAAAAAAGGGCTTGACACGGAACGCGTGTTAATTAATAAATAAATAAAAATGTAAAGTTCTCTCTTCAAGTCACGTTCACGAAACGTCTTACGATTATTCTATGTGTCCCATGTCCGGAATCCGATCGCGAAGTTATTTATTATTAATTATACATTTGAATCGCGCTTCCGTTTATTCGTGAGATGTATCGAATAACGAATCGTCATTATTAAATGTTGACTCATGGTATATTCTTCTTTGACATATTGAATATAAATAATTTCTGTTTTTTTTTCATTTATTTATTTATTTCCCCCACTATTATTCTTCCTTTCTTTCTAACTCTTTTTCTGGAACTTTTTGAACGCGTGTGTTTCGTCGCGTGTGGACGACCTTCGACGAACGCCTTTCGGCCGCTACGAAAAAAGACGACTACAACAACAACGACTACGACGACGACTATGGCAAGGGCAAAGCGCCGATCGTTAATGCCAATCCTTTTCTTTTTCTAGTCATTAAACTTTTTGCTTGGACGTCCTAGAAGCCCCGTGCGGAGTCCTAACGACCGTGCCGCGAGAAACCGATTACTGATCGTTAAGTCCAACTATTTGCGTCAAAGAGAGAGAGAGAGAGAGAGAGAGAAAGATAAAAAAGAGAGGTGACCGTTCGTAGTTGGTATTTCTTTTTCTTCATACTATGACTACCAAGTAAACTGTAAGCTCATATTTTTCTTCTTGATTTGTTCTATACAAAAATTGCATGTTAAAACCAAATTTTTGTTAGATGACAAATAATTTTCAAATAAAATTCATTTTCTTCTTTAAATATATATATATATATATATATATATATATGTAAAAAAGGAATACATTTTATTTATATATAATATTTTATTTTATTAGAAGGGATCTGAAAGAAATAGGATACGAAAATCGCGAATGGAAGGATCGCTTTCAGGGACGGGAACAATGGCGGCATTTAGTATTTGCGGCAATGAACTTTCGAGCTCCTAATGCCAATTAATAATAATAATAATAATAATAATAATAATAATAATAATAATAATATATTATTTAATTTTATATAAATATATCTTCATATATATATATATATAAATTACGTGTCACGTTGTTTGTCCGCAATGGACTCCTAAACTACTAAACCAATTTTAATAAAATTTTATACACTGTGTGCAGTTTCAACCAACTTAAAAGATAGAATAATTTATATCATTCTAACAGATGGCGGTATAAGGAAACTCGTTGACTTAAAGACATGTGTATCGGACTGATTGTGAGCCACAGCAACGCGTGGCGGGGCACCCCTTAGTATATATATATATATATATATATGTATATGGAACAGGGATTCAATTGCGTGAACATTTAACAATCGGAGATATTTAAATCGTGCAACTAGTAATTATAAATCAAACGTGTGACACATATCTACATATTGTAAATATATATATTCTCGAGATTGCTGTCAATAATCATACGTAAAAATAAATAAATAAATAAATAAATGTGATGCATTTTTATCGATAAAATACATAGATAATAATGACTCCGAAAATACGCGAGAGTGAGAGAGAGAGAGAGAGAGAGAGAGAGAGTCCAAGCAATTTGCGTGATCGTTCTCACGCAAAATGACAAGGCTGCATTATTAACGCGCTTGTCGAGCTGGTCGACCATGTGCAATGTCCTACGTAACTACATATACGTACATATACATATATATATATATATATATATATACATACGCATATGCACCAAATCCGGACTGCTGCGATGCGTGCTGCCGACTCCTAACGCGCGTGTACACGTTCATCGTGTGACCACAAAAGGACTATATAATTTAGATAGCGTAATTGACTTTGACGATTACGATATGCACGCCCGCCGCCACTTTCGATCAAAGGACACTTCAACTTGATCGTCAATACACGTCATCGATGAAATAAAGTAAGGCTCTTTTTTTTTTTTTTTTTTTACGAATCTTATTAAACGAGTACGTATAATCCGCGTCAATATCAAAAATAATATATCATTAACGCGTTCCTTCTTATTAAGTATTATACTTGACACTATAAGGAAAGTGACAACTTTTATCAGAATTAAAAATAAATTCATTATTGCAACTTTAATATACTGGTATAATTATAGCAGTATAGTTAGTTAAGATATTGTTTATATTATATTTGAATTTAGTTAATAATATATTTATTATTATTATATTTTATATTTAATATTATATATATATATATATATATTTATTATAATTTTATATAAAATAAATCATAAAATAGATTTTTTTTCAGCGTATATAATTATAGATACATAATTAGCAACATTTGTTACCTATTTGTTCGCTAATTGTATTGTACAAGTATCATAATTTGAATCAATAAATCTCTTTCAATACGAATAATTCAATTTTCGTCGATATTATTTAATCGGCTTAATAAATTGCTTTGTCTCGTGGAAATGTTTTTCGGCAGAAAAGAAAAATTCGAATAAATTTGCATAAAAGTCACAGTATTCTGAGAAACATTGGTGAGAAGAACAAAAAAAAAAAAAAAGACAAACCAAAAAAAAGAAAAAAAACCGTAAGAAATCAGAATATATATATATATATATAGATATAAAAGTTGGTGACTAATAAAGGGCGTGTGTTTAGTCATCCAGCTTGAAAAAGATCGTTAAAGACGAAATTATCGTAAGTTGTAATCTGGGCCGAATTTCACGGTGCCTTTTTTTCTTTTTTCTTTCCTTCAGTGGACTTTTCTGAAGCTGCTAATTGAGTCATATCATTAGCATGAACCATCGTAACGTGCAAAGTAAGCCAACCTGGACGAACGTCTGTTCTGTGCAGGATCCTTTACGAATTCTACCACCTCTCGTATCTATTTTTTTTTTTTTTTTAATAAAAGCTCGTTATTATATACATTTCTTTTTATTTATTTTATTTAACATTACTTCTATCGTTAAA